TTATTCTGTGCCGGGAAGAATAGTCAAAATTTAAGAGAATAACAAGGAATAGCTCTCAAAAGAATGACTCACATAATCAAAATAAGAATAATCTAGACTTGGCAATTAAATTTAAACATGATTTAACTGGCGATTATTTTCGAAACGAATTTTCTGGATAAAACATAATTATTACGAAACTTGAAATTTGCAGAAACTTGCAATGCCTATATAATATTTCTCACATACAGCTATTTCAATTAAGGTTGTCCCCGAGCAAAGAGGAAATGTCGAATACGAGCGAGAAAGGCTGCTGGGAATCGCTAAAAATTCTTTAATTTTTTAGCGATTCCCAGTACGGCATGATACGCTCGTATTCGGCTTTTCCGCTTTGCTCGGGGACAACCTTAATTGAAATAGCTGTATATACAGCGACCTCCATTCGCGTAAATGTTCGAAAATTCTGAGAATATTTTGTGGGAGCAGAGATAGAAAATTTGTTTTCGACCGGTAATTTGAAGTCGTTCCTGCGGTATGGCCATTTTTATTCGCAATGAGATATCATCTTGGAAAATATATTCCTGTGTTTTAAACTCTTGAAATTTAAAAAATAAATAAAGTAACATATTTTAGAGAGAATCTAAAATTCAGAAAGCTTCTCACTTTCGACAAAAATATTCATGTGTATAAAATGATCTTAAATATTCATTTCCCCCCACAACAGCTTCTCGTTCTGGCATATCATGTAATTTTGTGATAAGTGACGAAGGTCAAAATTACGAATAAGTCAACAGTCGAACATGTATATATACCGAGCATCTGTTGTTTCTCTGACAGCAAGATGACTTAAAATATCAAACGTATTAGTACAAAAATGAATGCGACTATGGAACATCACCCAAGGACAAATGAACTAAATTTTTGTTACATTTGGATAAAAAGTGGATGAGAAAATACAAAAATGTACGTCTTGCCACGAACAGAGTTCAATTGGATGCGTAATAAGCCCGACCATCGTATAATTTATGCATGATATACGTTAAGTGCATCCCTCTAGTTCTGTAATGATGTCGGGGAAAATGTGTTTGTTGGGCTAATGCCGCTCTTGCCCCCTGCTCTCCACTGCTTCGTGCCACGATTTTAATACACACTTTGGTAGGTAGTGATTCTCATCCATTTTGGGCACCGATCGTGACTGGCAACTTTCATCAACTTTCATTCTCGTTTGACCGGCGCTTAAGTGTGTCATTGTCATAAATTAAAAACAGGTGTGACCACTTTGTGCGACTGCAATGCAATAATAAATGTTTCAACCGTTGCGTTACAATCGCGTTAATTCTTCAGAAGAAGTCGTTTGAGGATGGAATCTTATTATTTTATCAACCTGATATTCATATTTGCTGTGAACATATTCTTCTTTTTCTCAGGAACATGTTTAAATTCCTTGGTCATACTCAGTTTCTGGAGGTCTGTACAGCTTCGAAAGAAATTATGTTATTTCATGATAATGGTTTTGTCCTGCTGCGATTTGCTTACGGTTTTAACTAATAATCCATTGATGGCCCTTAGCATGATGTCATGGTTGACGGTAAAGTTGGATGTAAATGCTAGATGGGCTCATATTTCCTTAACATCGACAGCTATTTTCCTTGGTTTTTCATTGGTGATGAATTTCGATCGATATTTGGCGACATCTTATCCTATCTTTCATCGAACATCGGTAACGAAGGGAAGACTTTTAACACTTCTTGCAGTACTGATCATCGTCGAAATAACTTTGGCCGTGATGTCTGTAAACGAACTGGTTATTACCTTGCAAGTACATGTTCTAATTCTTTGTATTCTTCTCATTCCTCCGATGTTATTTATCAACTACAAACTGTTTCTAGTCGTCAGGAAAAGCCGTAAAAACAAAAGAATATCGCCCGAAATAAAAAAGGCGTTTTCTTTGAAAAACATATCGAGTTGTTTGCTAGTAGTCGCTTGTGTTGTGGTGGTATGCATTCCAGGGTTCGTCTCCATTGGATTAAGAATAAAGTCGCCAGAGACAACAAATATTCTGGATAATGGAACCCTTGCAGCGATGTGGACTAGAACCATACTTTTGATGAATTGTACATTTAACTGTTTAATCTTTTACTGGAAAAACAAGGTGTTACCTACTGAAGGATTGAAAGTTCTGAAAAGCCTGAAAATATGTCGACGGGTTGAATCCTAGCTGCACTAATAACCCTTCTTCAAAAAACTTAAGGGTATAGAAGGAAACTCACTAACAATATCTTGGTAATAGTAGATGTGAACACAACGAACTATACTTATATTGTTCTATATATTAATATGCATATCATCATCACTATAAGAAAATAGCTGTAACTAGGGTATATAACCAAAGAAAGAAAGAAAGAAACCCTTATTCGTACTCACAAGAAAAGAAAATTAGTTGTTTACATACGTTATAAAACTTATAATTTCATCCATTCCTGCACAAGATAACTAAAATATAGTCGAAAAAAGTAAATAAAAATGCTTTCATTACTTTAAATTATTTCATTATACATAGAATCGGGTGTATAAAAACTTTGCCATGTTCTTGCGAGTTAAGTATTGGGTATGTAGATTTTTAATTTTCCCATCCTAATAAAGATTAGGCCTTCAACTAACGAATGAGATATTTTTTCTATCATTGCGTAATTAAAAACTGTTACACGACCAACTTAAAATTGTCGTTTTTTCTGACGTTCCTTGATACGCGTATGTCTGAGAGTGTTGAAATTATTCGCTGAAAGAATTGTTAAAATTGAAAAGAATAACAAGGAATAGCTCTCAAAAGAATACTCAAATAATCAAAATAAGAATAATCTAGTCTTGGCGTTTAAATTTAAAGATGATTTAACTCGCGATTAGACAACGAAATTATGTGGTAAAACGTACATTTTACGAAACTTGAAGTTTGCCATGCAGAGAACTTCCAATGCCTACAGTATATAATTATACTGTTTCTCTCATACATACATATACAGTGACCTCCGTTTGCGCAACTGTTTGAAAATTCTGAGAATATTTTGCGGCAGCAGAGGTAGAAAAATTTGTTTAATTTCGACCGGTAATTTCAAGTCGTTCCTATTTGGCCATTCTTATTCGCAATGAATTAATATCTTAAAAAGATCTTGGAAAATACATTCGAGTGTCTCCAGCTCTTAAAATTTAAAAAAAAAATAATAAACACATTTTAGAGAGAATCTAAAATCCAGAAAACTTCTCACTTTCGAAAAGAATACACATGTGTATAAAATGATTTTAAAATGTTCATTTCTCCTCACAATTGCAACGGCTTCTCGTTCGTGGCATATCATGTAAGCTGGTGACAGGTGACGAAGGATAAAATTATGAAATAAGTCAACAGTCGAACATGCATATATCGAGCATGTGTTGATTCCCAGTGAGCAAGAGGACTTAAAATATCAAACGAAATTATTTTATTTCATGATAATGGTTTTGTCCTGTTGCGATCGGTGCCAATGGACTATTAGTAATCCTCGAGCCAACGGCGCAAAGCGCCGTTCCGTGCGTAAGCCCGGGGCGAGGATACTAATTCCGCTCGGCTATATTTACACCTGGGTATTTGAAAACATAGCCAAGTGCAAAGTTGTCCTCCATTATGTGACGGGCGGTTTTTGACGTTATGCGCATGCGCCAGTACAAGCTCGCTAAAAAAGTTTTTCATTTTGCAAAGATGTATTTTGCTGTTTTACATTATATTTTTGCGATATTTTTCGTTTTTAACCTGTAGTTTCATGAATTAGTGGCTGTCAACCGTGAAACAAAGTGCGAAAGGAATAAACACGAATTTTTTTGAAGACAAACCAGATGATTTTAATAAATTTCATCGGTGTTGTCTTGGCTATGTTTGGGTAAGTGTTATAAACATTTCGGTGTTAAAATTCCATACGGTATATATACTTGTGTGTTCGTTTCCATTCATATCTGCGAAATTTTTAGGCCATTTTTTAACTCAATAAATAAATGTTTTATGCATGCTGGTATTTATATGAAATTGTGGTGATTATTATGGGTTCATTTGGGACAATTAATACAGCGTCGGCGCTTCGTGTTTTTTATGTGTGTTTGTAATGGTCTTGACCAAAATATAACTCTAAAAAGCTTTTGCCTATGAAGCAAATATAGTTTACCGTATTTTCGAGCAAATTACTGTCGGCAAAACGAGTTTTTTATGCAGTTTCCCCTGCAGCTTCACGTTTTATTGCTTTATTTTACATTTAATTATATTTTAGGCTTTTGAAAGCCACATAACATAAAAAAATATTAAGATTATAAAGAAAATAAAAAAAAGGTCATCAAGTTTAGATTAGTGTCAGATAAAGATTAGATTAGGGTTAGATTAAGATTATGTTACGGTTAGTGTTAGGACTCAACATGTGTCGCGAATTTATTCTATTGATAATTTCGGACGTGTTTACAGTCAAAATACAAGAACCTTCCCACTTCCGCAACTTGTCTTGTATTTCTGTAATTTGTTCTGTTTTTCTGTAGCGATTACCACTTTATCGGCAAATATCGCAGTAGAATTTCCCTTTCTTCATTTATATACGTCAATCTGTAGCAAAGGATACACCTTTCGTTAGATTCTTTGCATAAAAGTTGGGAAATTTGATTTTAGTACGTCAAATGACAGTCGGTAATTTTAAATTTGTATAGTATATGAACACACTATGAGCGGCGGTTTAAAACCGATTTATCAGGAAATATCGCTCTAAAATCTAAGTATCGCAACTTTTATGCAAATAGTCTAACGTAAGGTGTATCCATTGCTACAAATTGACGCATAAAAAGGAAGGAAAGCGAAATTCTACCGGACCCTACCGCGATATTTGCCGATAAAGCGGTAATCAAATTACAGAAATACAAAGCAAGTTACAGAAGCGGAAGTGGGAAGGTTCTTGCATTTTGACTGTAACAATTTACTCATATAGTAAATTCAAAGGTGGGAGCTCCACCAACTTCTACTTCTTCATCTGTAATAATATCTCCATTTCCACACTCTGTGCATTTACATAGGTCAGTGCATACCAAATCTTGCTTCCTGCAGATTCCTGATGACTAAGTGCCAGGATTGCGACGTCGGTGTCTGGACTCTTAATGGTAACACTGGAATGGTCGAAGCTGGCATGCGCAGCATGTACGATGAGTCTGGTATCAGCCTCTTCATGGTCACTCTCCAAAACGCGGCACTCTTGAACTTCACTGCGTCCATGCTGAGTCCATGACAACTTGTGACAAAGTTCCCATGAGCTACATAAATCATGATGTCCGTTGTAAGTTGTGCTGAAGCCAAGACTGAAAAAAAAATGCCAGCAGTGATTCCTTGCATGTTCTTTCCATCGGATAAAAATTTCTGAAACTGTCGGGGAGTTTTCTGCTCTGGACTGTATATCGGTAATTACTTCAGCCCCTTTGCCTGCTCTTCTCATATTAGCAATCTGTGTCAAAGCAAGATCAGTAGTGACTCGAAGTGACTGAATATGGGCCACGGCATCCAACATTATTGCTGATTGCGGGATCTTTGTCATTTGGACATCTGTACACTTTTCCTCCAAAATTCTCATTAATGCAGATTTGTCTGTCTTAACCATTGTACCATGCATCAATATTCGAAAGTGGAAATGACACGCTACTTATAGTGAGTACTGAAACACTTCACGTAAGTCCAAGTTTCTCTTCTGCCCCACCACTAGAAGACGAAACAAAAACACCTTACTGTCTTTCATAACTTCTTTGCTAGTTTTTTTCTTACTTGTGCAATTATCAGCAAATGTTTTTAGTTTTTGTTGCTTGATTGTGTCGTGAAAATCGATTTGTGTGGCATCTGCTCTCATACACAAGAAGACGTTCTTTGATTAATTCCATTGCAGCAGATTCAACTTTGCCTCTGCTTTAAGAACGTCGTCTTTTACAGAGTCAATGGAAAATGCACCAGAACTGATAGCAACAAGCTCTCCTGTGGTATTTTTAAACGGATTAATAATGCTCTTAACGGTGGAAATTACTGACATTATTGAAAAAATAATAGGACAGAGACCATTTTAATCTTTATAAACAAGTGTCTAATGGTAGACGTGCAGTTCGTTTTGTTGTCGTTGCAAGTTCCCTAGATATCTAGATTATTAAATGAATATTTTACTTGTGTTCTTTCATCTTGATACTTTTTATTTATTAATTGCTGCCGAGCGTAGCGAGGCAGCTCCCTAGTCTTGACGTTACATGACGTTCTTGCTTTTTCATGCCCAGTCCCGGGCCGAGTTATATTGGGGAAACATACTGAATCCATGTCAGTCCGTCGGATGCCAAGATTTTTCGGAAATTGTCGACAGCTCGAGCATTCGACGACTCTTTGTTTTTATTCGATTTTGATTCGATTTTATTGATTTTGCATTGCGCTCGCATGATTCTTCTCAGAATTTAATACAGTTTAATAAGATGCAAAGGATCGACAATATTTTGAATATTTTGGATAGCTTTATTTCTTTCTGGTGATATATATGAGCATTTATATTTAGATTTGCTGTTTAGTGTTCGATATAGAGGTAGTGAAACCAATATGATTTCATGAATTTGCAGTTGTAATAGCCCACTGATCGTCTTTATATTTATACAAGGAGTCAAAATGTACTTTTAGTATCTGAGATATGTCCATTGGTTAGCATTATATGTAATACACCGGCTTACATTCATATATTCACCTGCTCAGAATTTCTTTCTACAATCTTAATCATTACAAATGAATGGTCATCTAAAGCTGACAAAAATGTCAACATATATTTTGTCTCCTCATCAGCAGATTGTACAGTTGTTCTGCAATAGGGGTAGCTTTGAAGGTGCCATTTAATAAAACAGCAATCGCGTCCAGTACTGTCCGTACTCATGCGCGATTTAATTTCGCACACCTTGTTCATATTCGCGCAGCTTTAAATTCGGGCAAGAAATTTTCCGTGTTCGTTCTTTTTTGGTTTGTTCAATAGAACTGTTAACAATTAACGTATTTATAACGAGTATTTTTTATCAAAACTTAATAAAAAAGCGATTAGGTGGCCTCAAAAATATTGTAATGTTTCAAAATTATGTAATAAAACTAAAACATTTGTTGTATGGTTCTCATTGGCCTAATACAATAACAATAATCTTTTATTAGCATTCCCATATATTATAGGTTCATAAATGGTATAAAACTACGGTGCCCCACAAGTGCAACACACAAATATATTTCGAACGCACAAAAATATCTCAAAACACACAACTATGTTTAGCTAGTTCAAATGGATCCTCTTTTCGTTGTGGCTCTTCCAATGCGGCGCTCACACATGATCGTTCCTAACCTTTGACGACCATGTTTGAGGATCTGTGGCAAACTGCAGGCATTCGTAACGGAATGCTACGTGGAACCTGAGAATATCCCGATTGAAATTGCCCGGAAGGAAGACATTTTTTATTTTTAATATTGACAGGACAACTTAAAACATATGATATGTCAAATCAAGTGATTTACATTACTAACAACCGGTGTCTCATATTACATCACGAAGCTTTTCGCGCGGATTATATATTTCGCACATTACTAAAATTCGCGCAACCCAGCGCTGCGCGAATTCTAGTACTGCGCAAATTTTAATATAAGTAAGGTATATGAAATTGTAGCAACAAGACATGTTATGCAAGTTTTTAATGATTTAGATCCAGGTTTATTAGCATAGCATGACCAGTTGCCGTGGCTAGCTTACCACTGTCACTGAATACTGTACAATGTCATATTCCCATATATATCAACAATGATAATACTTGAATGAATCATTGGACATGTAGAGTTTAGTTTAATAATTGTTAGCTTCACCATTAACAGTATAATTATACACACAAAAGCAAGGATTCATATAAAACCCCCCATGCCAAGAAAGTAGGATTAAAATTTTAGCTGATCTTCGACTTTGTGCAAGGTGTTTGATATTCAAATTGCACTTTTCGGTCTTTTCCTGCATCCTGAACAGGCGTATTATATTAGCAATCTCGTACCCAGAGTATGCCCGTTCGCAAGTTTGGTCATGCCCAGCCAGTGTGCCCAGCACCTAACCTGCGAACGGGCATACTCTGGGCTGTTTACATGATGGAAGTTGGCATGGGATGATTTTGATGTATTGAAATAAGTCACTAGAATAAACAAAAGTTCAAATGCTGGCTAACCGAACTCAAATGTTGTAGAGAAAATCATGTAGTTCAAGATTTTTATAGCTTTTTGAACAACCTTTCGTTTACAGTTGACTATAATCCATTTCTAGAAAATAAAGTTTTTCACAAAATCATCGCGCCTTATATCTCGTCCTGGCAAAGCGGTTTAAGCGAGATCCGTATAAATAGCCATTATTCAGCAAATTGCGTATGCTCCCTGTCTTTGATCCCTTGGGGGTGAGGCAGCACTTTCCTTGCGATAGTAACTTCTAGT